TGACTTTTATGGTTCGAGGTGTCAAGCGCAAATTTAAGCAACCTGTTGCGTTTTACTTAACAGAAAGTGGAATAAAAACACCAGATTTAGTTGTTGCTTTGAAGGAAATAATAAGGGCTGTTCAGTCTACGGGTTTGAAAATAATAGCAACTGTTTGTGATCAAGCACCAACAAATGTAGCAGCTAATAACATACTTCTTAAGGAAACAGTTGAAAGCTACACTCGAAAAGGTCTTGAAAAACAATGTCTCGGCTTTGAGATTGATGGACACGAAATTGTTCCATTATATGATCCTCCACACCTGTTGAAAGGAGTAAGAAATAATTTGGTAACTAAGGATTTAACATATTATGTTAACGGAGAACAAAAAATTGCCAAATGGAGTCATATAGTTCAATTTTATGAGATTGACAAGTTACGACTTGATGTAGGAGAACGGATGACACCAAAACTTACAGATGCTCATATCTACCCAGATAAAATGAAAAAAATGGAGGTGTCAGTTGCTGCTCAAGTACTGAGCCAAAGAGTAGGCTCCATCATGCTTATGCTGTCTGAATGGTCTGGTGAGTACCTTACTATAATATTTAACAATGATGTTTATATGACATATCAAAAACTGTATACTAATCAATATTATTTCAGGCGAAAAAGATGACAAAATTAATTCTTCTGCAGCTGACACAGCCAAACTATGTTTGTTCATGGACAAACTATTTGATAGTGTCAACAGCAGTTCTACATCAATTATTCCGGGTAAAGAAATGAGGAGTTCTGTAACTTCATTATCACCCCATTGGAAATTTTGGGAAGAAGCATTACAGATATTAAATAGTATGAAATTTCCAATTAACGTTCCCACACTTAAAAACTGGGTAACTACAATAAAAGGCATCAAATACATTTGTAAAAAACTTTTAGGTGATGGTTTTAAATTTATTACACTTAGATCTTTTAACCAAGACCCAGTAGAAAATTTATATGGTCAAGTTAGAAGCCATGGGGGTCGTAATGTAAACCCAACTTGCTCAAATTTTCAATCATCTTTTAAATCATTAATGATCAATAACTTAATGTCCTCTCAAAGTGTGGGAGCTAACTGTGAAGATGACAATTATGCAAATTTAACAAATTTTAAAAAATTACTGTTTACAACAAATATCTCCGAAAGTCCTCCAAAAGCATTATCTTCATTCTCTGAAATTAGTTTCCCTGAAAACATTAACATTCCTAAGAAAAATACTAAATTAGCTTTGGCTTGTCAAGCTTATGTTGCAGGTGCAGTCACAAAAAAAGTTAAAAAAATTACAAACAACTGTAAATTTTGTTTTGAAATTCTAAATTCGGAAAATTCTAGACATAGCCAAATAATTAGTTCTAGACAATATGACAATTGTAGTCTTCAAACACCATCAATCATCTCAACTAATATTTACTCTATATTTCTTAATGAATTTAATTCCCATATTGATTTTTTTTTTACCAACCCTAATATAAAATTAAATTTTTTAAATTATATACAGCCAAAAATTAAATTTGTTTCTTTATGTTTATCACATGACACTAAACAATTGTTTTTAAATCATGCGTTTAGAATTGTTATGTTTTCTTATGTTACAAATATTAATAGAGTATTAAAAGGAGAAAAAATGCAGAGTCTATGTTCTGAACCAAATAATGTAATTTCTCTAGCTGCAGATTATCATAAACGATTTAAATTAAAGAAACACAAAATTTTAAAAAATTGTAATATAAAATAGGTAATTAATTAATAGAAAAAATTATACATATGTACCTAGTTATCTTGTATACTTATATTTTTTATTGTTGTATATATAGTTTTATTATTTATCTGTATTTGCTTTTTATTATTTAAACGGATAACAAATAAAATAAGTATGTAAAAATTACAATTTGTTTTTACTTACTTAAGTACCTACCTATATAGTTCATAATAATTAATTTCACTGTTTAACATCGAATACAATGAAGAATAAAGAATACAATGTGAGACATAAACAACTAACAAAATATTACAAGCATTTAATTAGTTTTTTATGATTACATTACTTCAATCACAGAAAAGTAAGTAACTTCAATGTTCAAAAGTTTCAAATATTTTGATAATAAGTAGGTATTATATCGATAAGAATTAATAAATCGATAGTTTTATCTAGTAATCGATAGATCGATTGCAATAACGATTGTGAAGCAAAATCAATGTTTAGTACAAAAAGAGACAACCGGGAGCGCTAATGTTTTAAATGTATCAACAAACGAATACTCATGAGTTGCCTTTCTATTTACTTACTTTTCTATGTATTAAACAATGTATTGGGCTTCAGCCCGTTTAAAATTAAAATAAATAAATAATAATATGATGGTTTGCTAGCTGGCTACTAATAAACGATGTTTGTTTTAAATTAACGGCGACGGCCTAGGACGAAATTCGGAATCAGCTAACTTGCAATTTAATATTCTGACTATACCTACACGCGTACAATTTACCTGTGAAAATGGCTGAATTGCATAATACCGAAACCCAAAAAATCGAGAAACCCGTAGAGGACGTCATGAGGAACATCATCAATAACATCAAGTATGAGTGTATGACATTATGGAATCAGAACTCAGTGTATTCGACAACTACCGAGAAGAGCCTACGGTTTCGGATTTGGCGGGCCTGTTGTACTATGCGACCCAGTTCGCGGCCGGCGACTCGTCGGAAACTATTCAACCGGACGACGATTCCAGTCTGACTGGACCGGTTGAACGGATCGGAGACGACGTGGACGTCGTGCCAACTGTGCAGGCGCCTGTGGAAGGGCCCGGTGACGAGGCGGAGGAGTTCGTCACACCGGCCAGGGGAGCTGAGGTCAGGAACAGCATCGGAGACTTGATCGGCTGGCTGGACCCGGGGGCAACGCTAGCAAAACGCGCAGGTCCGCCCAGACGGACGGCGGCGAGGATCGCGTCCGCTGCGTGGACAGGCATCACCCAGGCCGCACGCGTTTTCTGCTGTTGTTCCCCGAAGTGAAACCGTCCTAGAGTTCCCCCCTGGCCGAGGGCAGCGGACAAGGCGAGGCGATGGAGCGGGGTTGAGGTTTAGGTACGTGTCAGTGCACTTTTGGGGTGCCCGGCGGTAAGTCGCCGATACACGTTCTCCGCAGCCTGCACCGGCGGTAGCGAGACGGGATCGCGGACGTCGCGCGCTCGAGGTCTCCGACACGCGAGACCCTCTGGCGGCGTGGCTGCCGCCCGGCTGCTTCGGTCCGAAAGTGACGACGACGGACGGCTAGCGGTACCGGCTCGGACATCGATGCCGTTCCGACGGTACCAGTGACGACTGCCGCAGTGTTGCACGAAGACGACTCGTGGCGGCGGCGACGGAGACCTCAGAGCTCACGGCGGGTGAGTGACGGATGACTATTTATAATTACAGGTTGGCCAGGAACACGGACTTCAGCAGCGCCGGGCTCGAAGAAACGAAACGTTTCAGAGTTCGGACGCAAGGGCGAAAACCACGGAGAGTATCAGGACATCGGGGCGTTGCGATGCTGTTCGCGGATTCTCTCCCTAGTCCCTTTTTCGCTCTGCAGTGGTCTGATCCTGTCGGCCGATATTATTATAGTCTTCGCCGCTCGCTCCGGAGCTTTGGTCTTGTCCGATGCCTTTTTTTTTCTTTAAAATTGTTATATATTTTTTTTTACAACTTAAGTTGTATTGTATCTCATTTTTTTCGGAATAATTATTATCAAAATTGTTTAAAAAATTTTCATCAAATTATATGATGTAATAAAATTATTCTGTTAACACAGTAAAATATTGTTTATTGTTTTTAGCATTAAAGAGTACGATTTTATTTATATCAACCTAATAATGGCCCACTGAGCATGATTATGTTCAAGTGCAGGGAGTGTGGGGCCCACTGGGGCACCATATAGAACATTAAGATACATTGTCATCTTTAGCAATAATGAGAATGGAAAACGAATACATTACGTAATACATAATGTAATCCATGACATAGGGTACGATCCTTTTTATGTACATTATCATTGTGCAGAACAAATTCATATATACAGAGGATACTGTAATAGTACTAAAATACCAAAGTTAGTTATTGATGCAACTAGTTCGGTCGTGAAAAAATTTCATACATTTGGTGAAAAAAAAACTCATTATACTTATATGAAGACCTGGTGTATGATAGCACAAAAAACGTAAATTTTACTGTAACAAACATGGTGAGTGAAAAACAACAATTTATCTATTTCAAATTGGCTATTAAATTGGATAAGCTCAGACGTAAAAAAACCGAAGGAAACAGTTTGTGATAACTCTTTGGCCCTACTTTCCGCTGTTGTTCAAAGTTTCACTCAATACTCTTCACTTCTAGTATATATACGAGTTTTTTCAGACCTGTTAACTAAAGAACTAAATTCAAATTCACATTTGGTTCCGTGGTGTTTTGTGAGAATTGATGTGGCACATTTTTTAAAAATTTGCACAAAATGGACTCCATTAAAAACTGTACCTAGGAGAGTAAGAGAGATTATTTTACGAGTGATTGGACTTTTAATAAAATGTAAATCTTTGATAGAAGCCCAATCATTACTACATAGCTTGTTTGTAGTATTAATTAATGAAACAAGCTGAATTCACAAAAATGGACAGGAGACTCCATTAAATTTTAAAATACTTGTTGACGCCACTTCTACGGGTCTTGTACTGTTTGAACAGCAATTTAACGATATATTAGCAGCTGCAGAGTCAGATGATGAAGCTAGGAACATTTTAGAAGAAGAATAGGAAGGATTAAATGAGTATGATAACCCATTTCAATCGTGGGCTGAAAATATATACAACAGAAGTGAGAGTTCGATATAAGAAGGTTCGGCATTAAATCCTTTGTACTTACTAGCATTGGCCCCTTATATTATTAAAATTATGAAACTATTACCCTTATGGTCGAGTATCATGATTTCGATATTCGGTTATGGTGATGAATGATGATTTATCGACTTCAGCAGCAGTTGAATCAATCTTTAAGAAGCTTAAAAGGGTAACATTTAAACATATTTCAATTCCAACTGATCTTGAAATTTTTTTGGAAAATCACATTAAATCGCTAAAAGGAGCTGCTTTATTACGGTCGTCTTGCAACAATATAGCTATTTCTTCATTGCCTAAATCATGTGAAGCGATTGATGATAGCCATAGTTTTACTTCGTCAACAATTATTTAAAATAATTTTAATGAAAATGATAATGATGTGTACATTGAAAATCGTATGAAATCTCATCCTTATAATGCCTTATATGTTTTACAAAGGCCAATTATTAATGATAATAATAATGTAGAATTACAGCTAGAATCTGATGATAATCTACAAATACAATCGTTGCAGTTTATTAAAATACCATCTGTTAATTTTACGACTGAGAAAAGTAGAGCAGTTGAAAGCTGGAACCGAAAAATCAAAAAGCAAAGAAAAAATAACTCTTATCTTAATCCAAACCCGCACTTACGGCATCTAAATATAAGTACTGCAAAAAATAAACAAACCTTAAAAATTTTGAAAAATGGTTCAAGGTTTGCTGAATTAAAAAGCTGCAAATCAAGGGAAGGCAAATTAATTTTGAGCAATACTTGTGCTTTTGATGCTTTAACGGCGTTATTGATGGTTTGTTTCTTATTATAGATAAATATAAAATATAATATTAATAAGTCTATAAATTATACATTATAATATACTCTATTCTATACAAGGAATATAATACACAATATATAAAGATAATTTAATTTACAAAGGGTTAATTAAATAAAGTTTTTATTATATTGAAATTACAACTTCAAAAATGAAATTTATTTGTGTAGATAATACAATATTTATTTTAAACTATTAAGTGAGAACAAATTAATATTTTTTTGAGAAAATACACTTTTTTTAAAATATATTATATAATATTATGTTTAATTATTGACGTCCTTTATTGGGAAGGTAATTAAATTAAATTAAAGTATATTACTAAAAATTATACATTCAAATATTGTATTATTTCTAGGTGAAAATGATCAGTGTAGTAGTGAAGCAGCAAATATCTCTATGGTACGTTTATGTGATATTTCTCCTATAATCATATGTGACACAACCACATACGAACTTCGTGGCGTGATAGCATTTCGTCAGGGAAAATCGAGACTGAGACATTCAATCGGTCATTATACAACATACGCGAAGCGTGATACAAAAACTGGGAGTTGTATGATGACCTTAAAACTAAACCTGTGCCAATTAAGGACACAACGATAGTGCCATGTGAATTTTTATTATATATACAAAAGACTATTATAAGACTTTATAAAATAAACTGTTTTACATACGTTTAACTTTAGTAAAGTACCTATTCATAACATTATTCAATTATTTTATTTTATTGAAAATAGTTCATTAAAGATACAAATTATTTGTAAAATAAAGATTATGGTAATTTTAAATATTTATTCTGTATTATATTTTTTATTGCCATGTCTACCTATTTGATATAATCTTATATAATATATATATATATAAAAATGAACCCTAAAATGTATAACAATTCATCAATTGAGAACGGCTGGTCCGATTTGTCTCAAATTTCTTTTAAGATGATCGTAATTGCCAGGTGAAGGTTTTTACGAAGGAAAATTTTTAAAAAGTCAACTGAATAATTAGAAAAACTGCAATAACTATTTATTGATGTCTGGGATTTGAACTCGATACCGTTGTCTTTATTTACTCTATGGTGTATTATATTATATTGGTTGCTATTGGTTAATCGGGCATGTTTGTTGATTTGTATTATTATTTTTTGTCAATATATCTTATATATAAATGAATGATGGTGTGTAGATTATACTTATGGGAAAAAGATACGCTAATTTAAAAAGGGTTAAATTTGGTTTTTTTTATTCATCGGATTTTAGTACGGTTAGGTTAGGTTGGGATCTATAGGTAGGTGGAATTAAGTAAAAACGTCAAACTTGGTATAACTTTGGTACTTTTTGAGTTAAATCATACACTTACGTATAAATAGCACGGGGTCCGCGATCTACCACAGGTAGATTGCCTACCTGATAATATACTGCTGCGAAACAGAATTTGTATTCCGGGCAACAGAAAAGTTAAGATAAATCTAGAACATCATACACCGAATATTAAATAACGCATTGAACAATGTTCGACTCATATAGAGTTGGTACATTTAACGGGAAACGAAGTGCACGGGATCAGCTACCTAGAATAATTATAATACCAATTAGTTCAATATTATAAATGTTAGCATTTGAGTGTAATGTACAATTTAAAATATGCATGCTAATCGTGTTCAATGTTAATGTAAATTAAATCAAATATAAGTATTGATTATGATATTAATATATTAGGTATGTGTAAAAAATACTTACCTCGAAGAATGATATTGGTGAAAACTAAAAATCACTCATTTAAAATTTAAAATGATAATGAATGTCTATGTCTAACACCAATTCGTAGTTAAATTATACAACAGTACATAATTTTTTCAAAAGTATTAAAAATACGTACTATTGGTTACCTACTTAAGAAGTAGGTAGTTGAATACTTTTACAGTTACCTCAAGTACTTTACAAGATTCCTATGCGTCCATTTTACTTATGAGTTTTTGATGAGACAATATTAGAAATAGTCCTATAAAAAATACCGTATGTAGTAAAAAAAAAAAACGGTGAAAAAGGTTTATTTCATATGCGAGGGGGGAAAGCTAAAGTAGGCAGGGGTAAAGCGTGAAAGTTTAAAATCGTAAAGTTTCGCGTTCTGCGACAGTCGTGCAAATGCTTGCTAATGGCGTGCTAATGTTTGGTAAAAAAAAAATTTGTAAAAAAGTGATTATTTCACTTGTGGGGGGCTGGGGTAACGTTACTCCAGCCCCCCATAGTTTTTTATAAATAACTCGTAAAAAAATGTCGTGCAAATTCTAAAAATAGTCGTGCAAATACATGCTACACTCAAAAAAAAATCACTATAACATTGATAAAAATCATAGGTGATTCAACAAAATAATGGTTAGTATACTTCTAACAATATTTTTGTTAAATTTAACACGAAAAAATTGTTAATGAAGATGTAACAATAATATTGTAGAATCTCAGTAATAAAATCATAAAATCATGTAATACATTTATCATATAACTAATTACTATATTATCAAATTGCTAATAAAACTGTTAAAAATGATAAATTTGGTGTTAACTCAATATTTACTTATTTTCACAACTAACAATTTATTTGTCAAATTTAAACTGGAACTAATAATTTGATATATAGGTTTATTAACATAAAAAGTATAGTTTGTTGAATAAATACATAATTTTTTTTAATTTATAAAACAATCTATTGACTCAATAACCATCAATTTTTCAATTTTTCAATTAATTTATTAAATGAATAAATAAATGTTTTGAATTGACACGTTTATTTTTTGGCATAGTTCCTTTTTTAACTTCATAAAAATACATTGCAGGTAAGTCACCTCTTATCCATACTATTTAGTTTTGGAGGTGTCCACTGTCCACCAAATACCTATGCTACAACTACAACGGTCGTTATTGTATCTTTTTCAAGTAAATCATACTAAATTATTTGAATAATCAATTGAAATACATTAGAACAAAACTGAACTTAATTCAATTAATGTACATCATAGCAAAATATGTTATAATATAGTTCCATTTTTTTTATGATGTTAATATACAGTCTAAAAGATTAGGTTAGTAATAGAGAAAAATGAATAATAAATAATATATTCAACTTATATTGCAACATATCTATATTTTCATCAATATAATAAACTTCAGTTTGCTATATAATAATAAAATATTAATATTAGTTATCATAAAAAAAAAAATGTTTTATTCACAAATTCCAACTTTGAATGGTTATAAAGGAAAATAAAAATTTTAATAAATGTTTTAAATGTTTGCTATATAATACTAAAATTATACATACTATTATTTAAAATATACGGTTCATTAATTTCTAATTTAATTCAGATATAATTTTTGAAACTTGAGGGAATACAGTATCATATGGGGTTTCCAACTTGTATAACATTTTTTGCAAAAAATGCCAAACCATAGTACATTGTAATGGATATTTTAAATTAAATAGATGAATAATTTTGAAACAAATATCCACTGCTCTAACAACAGAGTAAACTTTAAATTTTGCATAATCAAAAAAAACCAAAATTTCTTTAGGTTTAATAATAGTACCCACTACCATTACAAATGGCTATATGGGATCCCCCTTTTCTTTCAGAGAACTAATTGTTTCTTCAATTTCTTCTACAGGATGAGCAAAAATTATAAAAGAAGATTGTGAATCTTTGATGGAATATTTGATGAGTGAACGTTTGTTGTTTTCTTTTTTCATAATTTTGGATGTAGGAACCAGTACCGAATGAAGAAGATAAAATATACAAGCATTAGGTATACAAATAAACATAATAAATACCCAACACATTTGTATCAAATTTTTTATAATTTTTTACCTTGAGAACAGTCATTTAATATGCTTGCTAAATTAATCAAAGATTTTTCGATCAAACTAACAGGAGTGTTATCTATAACATAATTATTTTTAGCAATTTGATGTTCACTGCAATTTGTATCATCCACATTGAAAGTATTTTGCCAAGTCTTCAAAGAATACCAAAATTTTATTTTTATTCCATACGGAAATGAAGATAAAAGTTTTTCTGACTGTGACTGGGACATAGACAGCATACAAGTGTATGCTTATATCAATTAGTTCTTCTGTAATATCAAATCAATATAAAAATAATTGTTCATACTTTAAAATTAATGGTAATGAGTCAAAAGGGCATAAGCTATAGTTTTTATGAAATTTACTTTTTAAATTTGGGTATACTTACTTAAACATGTATCAATTATATCATTTAAATTCCAACTTATCAGTAGTTGTCTTACATCAGATTAATCTTCTTCTGACAATTGTAATTGGACATCAGATATTGAATACTATGGTAAGCTATTTGTTTCGGAAGCAGGTATTATCATGGATGCTATATTGCTTTCATCATTGTTTTGAAAATTCATAGTTGGGAAAGTTGTCTGAGTTACAGCTATATTATTATTATTTTGACAAAAATTAAAATTGTTTGGAAATATATATCCACAATCTTGATTAACAGAATTTTCATTGTTTATATTTTGCATTTTGGCGATTATACCTACCTAAATAAAACACTTAAAATGTAGGTATGTTATGTAAAAAAATATAATATAGACAAATAAAATATATACAATTTCGTAACAACACTTATTTTAATTTCTTAGATACAAAAAAAAATAATTATCAATTATAAATATTCTTTTGCTCTAATAAGTGACTGTCCATTAGCAAGTTGAGAAATATTTATTGGAAAACTATGAAAATATGTTATATCATTGAAATTTTGCATTGATATAATTTTTGTACAATCTACATCATAGGACTCATAATGAGTATGAAAATATTCAACTTTTATTTGTTGTGTTAAGAGTTTAACTTCTTCTTTATTGTGAATAATAATAATTTCAATAATTTCATGTAAGCACATATTATCATTAACAAAATCAGTTAAAAAATAACCCTTTTTATATGATGTACCTTTGTAATCAATTTCCTTGTAACTGGTGAACTGAGAGTCTAATATATTTAATGAATTACAAACAAAGGCACTATGTTGGCTTACAACTATATCTTTTTCTTTTAACACAATTGTGGGTATAGGTTGTTGAATGAGTGAGTATGCAAATTTTAATTGAAACTTTTTTGCCAATGTTAAAGTTATAGGTTTCCTAGAAGTTATTGCATGAGCATAAAGTTTTAATTCTTTGTGTTTTGCTTCAAAGCGAAAGCACCAATAGTGACGAAGCCGGATGTGTACGTCCGGCTAGAGGAGCACCTTAGGGCAAGCGGACTAGTCCCCGAGAATGTGAGGTTCGTAACAGTGCAGCCTGTAATCGTAGGATTACAAGGCAGTACTGAACAACAACAACACACGACATCAGCGCTGGAAAACACGAACGCCAGCCAGATTTTCGGACAACCGTCTGGGGGAATTTCGACAAGCCCAACAGCAAGTCAAAAACCCACAGACAACCGGTCAGAAATCTGCGGCTTCCAGTCGACCATGCAGCAGGGCCAGTCCGCACAACCCTTAAAAACCGACATTTTCGAAACCGCGGCGAAACAGCTACATCAGTTAAAATTAATGTTGCCACAAACTAACGACTCAACATCGTTCGAGGCACGTTTAGGGGCGTTGGAAGCGAGCATGACGCGGTTCTTCACAGAATCGCACCAGGCAACCGCCCAACCGCCAAACAGTGTAGCGGCCCCGCGGTTAGATAACCATCCGTCACCCGTACAGATACCAAATCGTACACACGATAGTTACCAGTCGGGTAGGTCATATGAGCTCAATGACGGCGGCGCTCAACACAGCGCCAGCCACATTGCCGACGCGAACAACCGACCGTTCTTCGCGCGCGAAACTAATGACTATACGGGTCACACCACACGCGCGTCACAAATACGCGCCGTACGAAGCACGCGCTCATGAACGCTCGGTACTAATACCGTACGAGAACTTGCGCACAGCAAGAGCTTCGTTACCCGAGTTCACAGGAACAAGGGCCGAGGACCCCGTACGGTACATTAATAATACCGAGTCGATTTTGGTGCAAGCTCGTATACACCCCTCGGGCTGGTGCAGGGCGGTCGAGCCGCAGTTAAAAGGAACGGCGAGTGTATGGTACGCATCCATAAAAGTACTCGACCTATCCTGGGAAGAATTTAGGGTTGAGTTTTTAGAAAATTACAACAATTCCGAAATCCAATCCCAACTGCGCGCCGACATCGTGTCAACACGACAAACGTCTAGACAATCGCTAACGGAATTTGTGCTAGTTAAAAACCAGCAAGCGCGCCGCGTAAATACCGGCCTATCCGAGTCGGAATTGGTAGGTATTATAGCAGGATTAACGCGCGACACTTTCCGAACACACATCCGTCTACAACGGCCATTGACGTTCAACGAGCTGCGACGCATCGCAGGCGTTTTGGACCCGGTAACGGACAGCACCAACCCGACCCCCCAACAATGGGCCCCTAAACCCAAAAAAGGGGCGGATACCCCACAAACAGCCACCCCGGTCAAAAAAATTTTTTTTAAAAAAACAACAGATGACCACCCACCGGGGCCGTGCAGGTATTGTGGGGAACTCCACTGGAACAGTAAGTGCCCACACAAACCGACCACGTCGGGAAACGGCGGGGGAGTCGACGGGGACTAGTCCCCCCCATCGACTCAACACCACCCCCCCCACCCATCACCAACCACTATCGGTAGTACACACGGAAAAAAAACACGTAATCGAAAAGCGCGTAGTTCGGTAATTCAACACACAGAAAAACCAACTACGAACATTTTTTCCGTCTCATCACCAATCGGCACCCGTTCACAGACCCCCAACCTACACCACCCCACCACAGAACACACTCACCTCACCGGTGACATGTGTGTTCAACAACAACCGGCTCATGGGGCAGCCACAGGTGTAGGGACAAAGGCAACAGAGACACGGGTGTTCACCTACACAGGTGACGGGGACACAGGCACACACACCGCGCTTACCCCCGCATTAGGTCAGTCTGCGCACGTAAAGCAACGGGCGAGCAACGAGGCAACCGACGTTGACAGTATGGTCATGGCGGTTAACAACGACGACCAGACAGTCACTGTCGCGGTTCAGACGGGGTCGATGAAAACCCACCTTGTCGTGGTGACCCCGCCCGGCCGACAGATGGGTCGGTCGCTAAGAGGTTTTCAAAATCGGGTCCGTTTAAACTAGTTGTGACGGACCCCAGGCGTCGCGTGAGCTGTTACGTGGCGCCAAGTCGTGCTCTCGCGAGCGGCGAGCCTATACCTCGGGTCGGGAGCAACCCGCGATAAACCACCAGTCACCTGCAGTGTCCATTGGCTGGCAGGAATCGTGGGCGTAACCTGGCCTCAGGGTCTGAGGGCCGTCGCGGACCAGAGTACAGGCGACAACCCTTAGCTGGGGGATCGCCCGGGGACCTTAGCCAGTTCTCGGGTGGTCAAGCCCGGCCGTGGACTTAGCCGTTTGCGGTCGGAAGAACTTCCGGAGGTTGGCAACTCCGGTCGTAGGCGCCAGGCACCGGAATGCAGTGGCGTGGCGACAAGATTTTTATGTAGGGGCGAATACATTTTATTGTACCCAGTTATAAGTTTATAGGTTCCCAATTATATATATTTTTTTTTCATGGTGTTCTTACTGTTCTTAGTGTTCTTAGTGTTCATACCTATTCAATATCACCACTGGGTGACCTAAACACCCACCCACCCTTGAATTTTACTAGGGGCGGTTGCCCAAAAAAATATCCTTCGCCACGCCACTGCCGGAATGGATCGGATTCCAGGCACCTCAAAAACGAATGAACCCGCGGCTAGCCCGACGCGGGCCAGAGGGTTCAGGGCTCCCTGGCGGCAGGTCAAAAACGCAAGGGGAAGGACACCCGGCACAAACCAACGATGGAAGTGATAAAAACAGAATTTACCCCAAGTGATAAGCCGGCAAAGCCGGTAAATTCACCTCCTGCGGGAGCATTGGCCCACGGATTTTGGGGGGGCCAGATCACTTTCCATCATCGACCAGAGCTGAGCGGCCTGGGTGACGTACCTGCGGGTGAACTTGACTATTGCACTGACTTATACAAATCAAATGACATTATCCCTGACGCGCCTGCGGGCAAGATATCTGACAATTTCAGACCTCAGCTTCTGAGACTTAGGGGTGGGGGTGACTCTTACCCACTCGAAATGGACATGTACTTTAACACCGGTTTGATGGTGCCAGAGACCAGTTGGTCCAACATGGACTTAGCCCAAGTGCTTAGAATTAGAGGCGGGGCTGGTGACGAGGACACGTTTTCAACACCTACTCCCTTATCCAATCCTAGAAAAAGGAAGAGCACTTGCGTCCCTGATGAGACACATGCCGAGGCGATGTCCCGACACCTTGAAAATCAAGATGAAATATACGAATACATTAAGGCTGAGTTGATAACCATGTTGGACAAGACCAGAATAGGTAAAAAATGGCAAGACAGCATCCTGGATCTGGTAGATAAACTGGTCATTACCAGCAGGAGCATATATATAGAGGCGTCTGAGCTTATTGGTGAATCTTCATCGTTGCATAGCGTACTTGCTGATTGCAGGAAAGACAACGAAAGACTCAGCACCGAGGTTGGAGCCCTCAGAGAACAAGTCTCTTCCCTGCGGGTAATGTCAGAGTCCAGCCACCACCCCCCATCGACAGCGGATAACTGTAACTGTAAAGATCATCTGGAAATAATTAGCGCCGAACTCAGTGCCGCAGTAAGGGCTATGACAGACGCCTCGAATAGGAAACTTGCTAAGAAAACAAAGCGTCAGGGAAACGAATATCAGTTAAGAATGATCAACCCAGACACTGCGATAGTCATTGACCAGCAGGGCCCGTCTACCTCCTCAAAACAGCCGGAGACCATCGACTTGGTGATGGAAGTTGAAGGGTCGGACACTGAACTTAATGCGTCAAATACCTACGCCACGATCACGAAAAAGAAACCCGTTAAGGATAGACTAGGGACGAGGATTCGGCCTACTCCGACCAAAACTCCTAAAAGCGCCAAGGGGAGCCGGGACGCCAAAATGAAAAGGGCAAAGAAACAGCTAGTTAAGCCGGCATTTGTGATAGACGCAGAGTCTGGTAACGACATCTGGACGAAGGTGAAAAAAGCTATTCCTAAGCCGAAGGTGGACGGCTTCAGAAAACTGAGCAACGGTAGTTACATTGTCACAACAGCCGATAAAGAAACGGCAAATGCCATTCGATCCCTGTCGGGCTCAGGCGGTCTGTCTATTACCGAGTCGGGACCTCGTAAACCCAAAGTTAAGATGAAAGGCATCCCTTCAGACTACGAAGCTTCGTTCATAAGTGACTCGCTCATCGCGCAGAACACAGATACGGAAGGGGCTAACAGCTCAGAAGTCAGACCGCTGTTCAGATGCGGAAAGCGGGGCTTGGATACCACCGACTGGGTGATAGAGCTATCACCGCGTCTGTACAAAGAACTCATAAACAAACGAACCTTCATCGGCATGGTATCAACCTTCCCCAGGCCATTCATTGATGCTCCATACTGTCGAAGATGTCTTTCGCTTACACACAAGACCAAGGACTGTGAGCAAGAGGGGGTCACTTGCTTCCATTGTGCCAAAACAGGTCACGACAAGAAGTCTTGCCCTGAGTCTTCGGGCAGTCCCACATGCGCACAGTGCAATGGGCGGCACAAGTCCTTGTCGAAAGACTGCAAAAAATGGGAGTCCAGAATAAGGCAGCTGCAGACTTACACTGACTATGAGTGCTGACATACGTATCTTACAGCACAACCCAAACAGAGACCGCACGGCTAGCCACCAGCTTCATCTGAAAATAGTACAACATAATCTTAATAAGGACAGAGTAGCGAGTCACCAGCTAAGGCAGTGGTGCAGAGCCCAACGTGTCGACTTTGCCCTGATACAAGAACCTTTGGTTCAGAACGGTGGGATTTATGCCTTTGAAAACTGCAGACAAGTCCATCTTAGCAGCAAATCGGGTGCGGCAATAATTGTCCTTACTGACAGATTTCAAGTTATCAGTCTTGGTACGTACAACTCAAATTATGCTACAGTTATAAGAGTCTCGTATGGCAAAGGGCCCCGGACTTTATAGTCCTGGTGTCTGCGTACTTTAAGTACAATGCCCCTACCATCCTACATACCGAACGTCTGGACCAGATCCTTAACAAGGAAAAACGGGTCCTCGTAGGCGCGGACACCAATGGCCATTCCAAGCTATGGCACGCACAGAAGAGAAACAAACGAGGTAGGATTATAGAAGAGCTCATCGAGAAATTCGAACTCGCAGTCCACAATGTCCAAGGTAAAATAAATACCTACGACCGGGAAAGGATGGGATCATCCAACATTGATGTAACAAGTCCACCTCTGACATCAAAAATAAGATAAAAAGCTGGGATGTAAAAAATGTCACAGACAGTGATCACAGGGTGCTTAGCTTCGAGCTAGCCATAGACGGACCTCGAATGGAGAAAACGACCTCCCCTCGGTTCAATGTCCGCACCGCAGACTGGGACTTGTTCCGCAGCACTCTCGCGGCGGAAGTTGGTGGCATTCCCGAAACTGATATAAACTGCATGGCAGAGGGTATTGACCGCGCAATAAAACTTGCTGCAAATCGTTCAATGGAAAAATGTAGGTCCGGAAACCCGTTGGGCAAAAATATCTGGTGGTCACCCGAGCTCTCGACTCTGAGACGGGACTTGACCCGAGCCAGGCGACAAGGCCTTAGAGCGCAAGACCGGCCTGTGTACAACGCCATGCGAAACAACTTTCTAACAGAAATAAGAAAACAAAAAATGGCCGCTTGGAAAGTGTTCGCCAATGACATAAATGAAAAACAGTGGGGCAAGGCCTTCAAATGGGCGAAGAGCGGCAGTAAAAGGGATAACTCCGTTCCTAGCACCCTAATTCGCCCAGATGGCAACAGCACGAGAGACTGCCGTGAAACAGCGGAGCTCATATTGAACACGTTTGTACCCTCGGACCCTGACCAGGGTGTCTGGCAACACATCGGCCCTCTGGAAGTTAAGGAAAGACCCGATCCTACTGATATCAAAGCGGCCATTTGGCGAATAAAGCCCTCCAGTGCACCGGGAGTTGATGGTATAACGGCAGGGATGCTAAGAAAGGCCTGGCAAGTTCTCTGGGGGCCGATCACCGACCTGTTCGGAAGATGTTTATCAGAAGGTAAATTTCCTGAGCCATGGAAAAAGGCCAGACTGGTGATTATTCCCAAGCCCGGCGGTGGTGAGAAGGACAGACCTAAGTCCTACAGGCCGATAAGCCTCCTTCCAGTATTGGGCAAAGCACTGGAAACTTTAATAATAAAGGCAATCGACACAGAGACGAACCTTAACTCGTTCATTGAGCAACACGGGTTCACCATCGGCAAATCCACGTCCACTGCCATTAAAAATCTATACACGTGGGTCGATGCCTCCAAGGCTAGGCACGTTTTCGGGACTTTCCTTGATATAGCAGGTGCATTCGACAATGTCAAGTGGGCTCCGCTACTTGAACAACTGAGGACGTTGGGTGCGTCACTAAACACCCTTAGCATCGTAAACTCGTACCTGACAAACAGGTGGGCCAATTACGAGTTGGAAAATGTACATTATAGCAAAAAGCTAGAAAGGGGCTGCCCGCAGGGATCCCAGCTAGGGCCCACGCTGTGGAAAGTGGCCATTACCCCCATATATAGCACGGCCAAGGGTGCCACAATGAAAATAATAACATATGCGGACGACATACTATTATTGGTCGGAGCCGTGAGACCACCCACTGCCTTCAAAAGGATCGAAGGTGCACTCGACCTTCTGTCAAGTTGGGCATCGTTGTATGCGTTGGAATTCTCGGCCAGCAAAAGCCAACTGTTGTCAATAAAAGGCGGCCTCAAACCGGGATACTCCGTCGGCTTTGGTACAGCGCCTGACGCCGCCAGAATCGAATCGACTGCAACGGCGAAATATTTGGGTGTCATCCTGGATCCCAGGCGGAGTTACTGGGCTCACATAGAGGCCATCAGCAAAAAGTCAAAAGATATGTATAGGCGACTAAGGGCACTCAGGTCGGCAAACTGGGGACTTAGCCGGACCACAGCACGCATCATTTACAAAGGCGTTTTCTTGCCCAGAATAACTTATGCGGCTGAGGCGTGGAAGGACGGCACAAAGTTAGTAAAAAGCCAGAAGGTGCTAAACAGCGCACAGAGAGCTAGCCATTACAAGCGCATACAAGACGGCTTCAACGAACTGCCTTGCAGTGGTTGCGGGTACATTACCACTTGACCTGGAAATCCGACATAACGTCAACAGACGCGAACTCAGGGTAAATATTATAACGACTGAGGAGTTCGATAGAAGACTCAATGGCCTCCACGAGGAATGGCAGATTCGCTATGATGGCAGTGATAAAGGCAGCTGGACGAAGTACATGATCTCCTCTGTAAATACGCGATACAGCCTGCTTCTAGAACTGGATCATTACACCACCCAGTTTTTAACAGGCCATGGCGATTTCTACGGCAAACTACACAAGTTCAATCTGGTAAGGGACCCCACGTGCGAGTGTGGAAGGAATCCAGAAACGGTCCGGCACGTACTCAGGTTCTGTCCCAGAACGATAGCGGCCAGGAGAAAACTGAAAAAAGTGCTATCAGAAGAAGGTGAGAGATGGCCGCCTGAAAAAGGAGCGTTCCTTAAAACCAAAAAGAACGTACGATGCCTTGGTTGTATTCGCTAGAGAAGCCTTAACAAACAGAAGTGATCGATAGAAAAGTACATGACGGAGAACAAACGGACACAAGCTTAGGTCACAAGACCTGCATGGGTCAGGACGCGGCCACCGTCAACGACGGATGGCACAGCACTCGGGGTGTCTCGAATGAGTGCATATGGCGTAAGTGGCAGAAGCGGTGAGACACGCTCGAGTGCGTCCTGACCCGGGATGCGCTCATACGTCAGGGACGTGTAGTCAGGCCCTGGGGTGGGGGCCTTGGAGAATACTACCCCAGTATTCCCTGCTTGGCGACTAAAAGGGAACAGGCCAGACGGGGCCGGCGCCTGGGGCGCGGACGCACCGAAACCTACGGGGACTAGGGCGTTGAGAGGTTCTGACCGTGACCTCGTGAAGAGCGGGTCGGTCACTGGGCTTAGCCACCTGGTGACGCCTTGGGGCGTAGATCGAGGTTCTGACCGCGACCTCGAGAAGAGCGGGTCGGTCACTGGGCTTAGCCACCTGGTGACGCCTCTGGGAGGCGGAGTTGGGCCTACCGTGAGCCCGTGGTACACGGCCCAAATCTCGGGAGGATCATAAGCTGAGGCATCTCGCCGACGAAGCTTCGTCCGAGCATCCTACCAATGATGTGCCTTACCTTACGGGAGGTGAGAATGGTGCTTCGGGATGTGAGGGGGCCCCTCGGTGTTGAGAGATTAACATCGAGCCCTCACACGTCGGTCGTGGTGGACACTGCCTCGACCGACGGCGGATTGGTTTCGAAGTGGCAGTTTGCAGGAGCATACTATGTGGTTATAGGCCACACGCTTGGCCAGGGGAAGGCTTCCGTGTGACTGGACTGGGCGGACTCGTACGGCGACAGTCGGCCGGGAAAGCACAGCCCTCCTTAGCGCTCACCCAGCTTATCGTTGGAGCTATATGCAGCGAAGGTTGTCCGTGACCAAAAACGGAAAGCAAAGTGGATAGATTGCGGCCTCACCAGGGTGGCGAAAGGCACCTGTATGCCCTAGCCGGATGGTACGGGCGCTCCGGGGAATTCCCCCGTGCGCGTCCGGTGCTCGTTGTCATTAGACGACGCGCGGCCGTCAGTCCCGCCGACCCTCGGGCCATGTCAGACACGAAAGTGCTGTGGGGAGGTTCGGCGGGCGGCGCCCGTAAGCCTCCACGGCCCTTGACTAGCACCAAGTGCTAATAAAAGGTCCGCGGTTGTAGCCGCAAGGCACCAAACCCGGGAGCTTCGTGTCGCGGTTCAGAACCAGTTGTCCCGCTCAACAGATTGCAATACGACTAATAATGGTATACGAACATGCCCAGACAAAATTCCAACCCCCGCGGTCGAACTAGAATTTCCGTCAGGTTTCGTAACAGCCCTATTAGATTCACAGGTACAAAAATCGTACGTAAACCCGACAGTAGCCCGTAAATACGGCAAAACACCTCCCCACGGACCAACAAACACAGTCCGGATGGCGGAAGGTCACACTGCAACAACCAGTGGCACCACCACATTCGAAGCTAGGTTAGGTACACTCGACATAAAATTCGAAGCTACCATCATAGACAATTTGTGTTGCGACGCATTACTAGGACACGACTTTCTTGTAATTAACGAAGTCTCTTGGGACTACGCCGCATGCACAATTCACATGGGTAAGCATATTCGTACGTCGACATGCTGGAAAGGGAAACCGCAACCACCCGCCACTCGTCCCGACTTGTCACAATTAGAATTTGGAAACGACACCGAAACACGCGCGAGACTAACCAAGATATTAAATAAATACGCGGTAGTATTCAGCGAAAAAGTAGGACGTACCAAATTAATTGAACACGAAATTATGCTAAAAGACCCATCACCGATCGCTCTCAAAGCATACCCATATCCGCAGCAGAAACAAACTGCTATCGACGATATGGTGCGCGATATGGAACTCCAGGGGCTCGTAGAACCAAGCACCTCACCTTGGGCCGCACCGGTAGTATTGGCAAAGAAAAAAGACGGAACATTTCGTCTCCGTGTCGACTACAGGCGGCTTAACGACGTAACGGAATCCGACGCGTACCCTATGCCAGATCTCAACAAAATGATTAGGCAAATGAGGGGCGCGAAAATTTTCAGCATTTTCGACCTAAGGTCGGGGTACTGGCAAGTTCCCCTACACGAAAATGCGCGAAAATACACGGCTTTCCGAACACGTAGAGGTCTATTTCAGTTCAGAGTCCTCCCCTTCGGTCTAAAAAATAGTCCAATGACTTTCGTTAGAATCATGAACGAGGTCATGAGGGGGTACCAGGATGATTTCGTACAAGTCTACCTAGATGATATTTTAGTATTCTCAAGGGACGAGTACGAACACCAGGCCCACCTAGACAAAGTTCTCGAGCGCCTCAAGAGATTCGGATTAACGTGCAACACAAAAAAATGTAAAATCGGTCTTCGCGAAATTTCATTTTTAGGGCACATAGTAGACTCGGAGGGCATACAAAAACAACCGGAAAAATTGGTATGCATCGATAATTTTCCGGTTCCCAAAAAAGTTAGGGACGTACGTACATTTTTGGGCGTATGCAATTGGTACAACCAGTTCGTAGATAATTACGCGGATACCATAGCACCCCTCACTAATTTATTAAAACAGGGGGTTCGGTGGAAATGGACAGATGTAGAACAACGCGCGTTCGAATCAATAAAAAACGCGCTAGTCACATCGCCGAAATTGTCCCCACCCGATTACAGCAAAACGTTTTGTCTCCAAACCGATGCAAGCGAGATAGGAGCTGGCGCGGTACTCTTCCAACGGGGTGACAGACCGGAGGAAAGACGCATCATATCTTACGCAAGCAAAAAGTTTAGCGAGACACAGACGAGGTACGCCGCGGTAGAACGCGAGTGTCTAGCAGTAATTTGGGCAACGGACAAATTTCGACCATACCTAGAGACCCGACGTTTCGAACTCCTGACAGACAACTCGGCACTAACATGGTTACACAGGGCTAAAGACAAAAATTCAAAATTAACACGTTGGTCACTACAACTAGCTAATTTAGATTTTAGTACGGTACACGTCCCGGGAATACAAAACGAAGCACCCGATTTGTTATCCCGCGACCCGGCACCGGGCACACCCGTAGACGAAGATCGACTCGAGGAAAAATTGGTAGGGGCACATAGTTGAAATTCCTGCAGGTTGTCGGTGGGGGAATCACGCCAGAATATGTGTTGGAAAACGCGATATTCCGAACGAATAAGAATTTGTCGGTACATCTTGACAATATCGGCGGTCAGAATGTATTTGTGTAATCGGCAACGAAGTAGAATGTCACGCAAATCCACTTGCAGTTTAGGTCCGGTGCACAAAACATCATTCAAAGAACGACCAGACGAAGAGACTGAGGAAGCGTCGTAGACGACTCGTATTTTTGACATATCACCGTTGGTCTTGAATACGGCGTGATGTGGAATGAAATAGATGCCCGGTGACGGGGCTGGCACAATGTGTCCCAGCGAACGATAGGTGGACATGAAATGGCGATACGCCGCATACAGCACGGGATCCTTGGCCAATCGCTTTTCTAGATTATAAAATCTCTTCAGTGCTATGGAACGCGAATCCCCTAGACCGTGACGCGATGTACCTTGCTGTTGAGTTGAGCCGGTGAACAAATGGCGAAATGGTAGGGCGACACAAAATCGGCCTGTCGTATCGCGCGAGGTAGACTTTATAAAATATTCTTCGCACCACTGGTTTTCCGTGGTGGGCGACAACGGTGCGGCGGGTTCTTCGATCAACCAGAATTTTTTAATTAAATCTTTGATTGAGGGCGGAGCGATTGCGGTGGTCAGCGTGACTGGAGGTGACTTGTTACATTTGTAGAAAATGAGCCGAAAATTATCCAGCCAAGCTGAGTGTCAAGAGCCGATGGTAAACCCGAGTGATGTTCCACACCCGCGTGTGGGCGTATAAGACTTGGTAGGATATCCGCACCGAATAGAGCGTCGATGCGAGACGGAGTGTCGAATTTGTCATCGGCGAATCGAAGGTGTTGATATTGTTGACGCACTAGCTGTCGCTGGTAACCGAGTAGCTGGCATGGCAGTGGTAATTTGTTTTAGAACAACTAAGTCAATAGCCGGGAATAAATAATCTGGTTTAAGGTGGGACGAAAATTGACAGCTGGTTATACCTTGAACGTGGGATACAGGACTTTGTGCGAAACCTACGATGTCAGACTTGTAACGACGTTTCGAAAGTCCAAGCCGCGCTGCACAATCACTAGTCATGGCGGAAATCTGCGAGCCACTATCGAGCAGTACGCGTACGCAATGTACTTGTTCCCACGCATCTTTAATGTGAACAATCGCTGTACCTAGTACGACGGTAGAATTGGTGCAGGCGGCACCGACAAACGAGCTAGAATCACCACTCGACGTGGTGGGTTGGGATACCGGGTTACTATTCGAAGTCGTATTATCTGCAGTTGACGTTCGAATTTGTTCACGATGTAGTAGGGTGTGATGACGCTTACTGTTGCAAGAAAAACAACTCTTGGC